GTGTCAGCGACTGTGCTGAGGAAGGAGACGCTGCCGCTGGGGCAACACTAGAGGAATGTGAGTATGATGTGGCCGAACTTTCTCGCCGACTGTTGCTGGAAGATGAAGTACTTGTGTCAGCTGACCCTCTGTGGGAGACCGCAGGGACAGACTGGACCTGAAGTGATTGAACAGGACATTACAAATTGCTGTAAACTTTATCTCCACAAACTAAACAAACACAGTATCTCTACAAACTAAACAACATGCTATCTTTGTAAGTTAAATAGGACAATTTCTCTATAAATTAAATAACACATATCAATCTCTATAAATTGAACAGCACACTGCCTCTATAAATTAAAAAACACCCTCTTTAAATTAAACAACACACTATTTCTATAAATTACACAATACACTATCTCTTTAAATTAAACAACACATATCCATCTCTACAAACTGAAAAAAAAAAAAAAACAAAAAAAACAATCTCTATAAACTAAAGAATACATTATCTCAATAAATTAAACAACACACTATTTCTATAAATTAACAACACACATCCTTCTCTACAAATCTAAATCACACTATCTCTACAAATGAAACAACATACTCTCTAAAAATTAAACTACACACTATTTCCAAAAACCACAGTTCCCCAGAGCAGATGAGCGGCCTGTCAACTACCCACAACACCAGACAGAAGACCCAACCCCCCACCCCTTGCTTCCATGGCACACAGACACAACAATGCCACCTGATCAATATTCTCCCAGACAAGTTTCTTGGCCCAAGGCTATTCAAATCACAGCCCATCTCACTTGAGAGTTCTTTCAAACTCATTGACCATTGTCCATTAGCTTCTACTCTGTTGATAATTGGCTTTTCTGATTTTTCCACAAAATTAGGTCCTAAACTTCTTCGGGCAGAGGTTCTCAAACTGGGTAATTTCCCACATGATGGAGCGTGAGTGGGTGTTTTCACACTGGTGGAGTATAAGTGGGTGTTTTCACAATTGTACAACTTGAGGGGTTGTTTCCATACTGGTGGAGAGAGAGTGGGTGTTTTCACAACTGAAGGGCTTGAGTGGATGTTTTCATAATTGTACAGCATGAGGGGGTATTTCCATACTGATGGGACATAAGTGGGTGTTTTCACATTGGTGCAGCATGAGTGAGTGGGTGTTTTTACACTGGTGCAGCATGAGTGGGTGTTTTCACATTGGTGCAGCATGAGTGGGTGTTTTTACATTAGTGCAACATGAGTGGGTGTTTTCCCAATTACACAGGAATGTCAGCATCTGTGTCAGGCATTGTGTACGCACTTCGTAATGCTGTCTGACCCCAGCTGCAGGAAATTTGACAGCAGACCTCCTTGTGTTGGTTTCGACAATGGTATTGAGAACCAACATTTTTAAAGGCAACACTAAACTACTGAATGTAAACACTGCCTTGTGAATGCACAAACAGCCATAAAAAGCTGGGGTTGGTTCTGCAAGGTCCCATAAAAGACAAGGAACTAATTTTAGAACATGGGTATTTGTTCTTTTTCTTCTCTAGTACTATTCTCCCTTTCAGCATCAGGTTTTGAAGAGGCATTGGTTAAGAGCTTTGGTAATGTGCTATGAAGATGTTGATATTCACGGAGTCAGAGATGTCCATCTATCCATTGCTTGGGTGGTCAACCTCTGGTTCTGCTTCCATTATGTATAAGTGGCATGGCTCTCTGTGGTGCACAATCTGGTGGTAGTCTTGTAAAAAAGTAAAGTAAAGGAGCCTTTTCCACGCCTTTAGGTGCATAGGGCATATAGGGCTAGACCTATATTGTGGTAGTCTTGGCACATGTCTAAACTATTTGTTCTGTTGTCTCTTAATGTAGTTAAATGCTTGGCTCCGTCCCAACTTCTTTTTGATATCGCCATTTCTGATCTGTATCTTTTAGTTACAATTAGGATGGATGTTAACGGATGAAGAAAAAGAAGACAAATTACGAAGAAGACAAAATTAAAAAAAAATATTCCTATATTTAGCAATCGCAAAGCAGACACTGGCAATGGAGTTTAGCATTTAGTGTTAAATCTGGACACTATGGAATTAGTTTAGTCGACAGCTTATCTCATTGCACACTGAACCATTCAGTCCACAAGTACTCAGATCACCTCCTTGGTAAATTCTGCAGCGTGTAGCGGCTGACGACAGTAGTTCTGTGTTGGTTTCTTAGTCTTCTCTGGCTTCCTGCATACTGCTCTTGTCCGGCCACACCCCTTTTAACATGTGTTTTTGCCGTCCGGTCATTGTTGCAGATTCACAGTCATCAATTGGTTCTCGCAAATGTTTTACTTCTCGTAGAGTATTCAGAATATCAGTATAGTCCACGGGTCATCCGTCCTCCACAGTAGCTTTACCTACAAGCCAGATCAGCTTGCTCATTTCCTTGCACGTCACACAGAGGCACAAATAGATCATTACGGCCTGAGGAGAACTGTGCTGCGGGAGTTATTAGGGATTTCAGCATGTTGCTGAAGATAGGGACAGAGCGCTTATGGGGGTGTCCCAAGTACTGTGATATCAATTCTTAATCCAACATTCCTGAACGCCTGCATGTTCTGCCACAAATATGAAACTGATATTGTGTCAGCCCCGATTGCTTTAGAGACTCCAGCCACTGTCTTCGGATCCAGAACTTATCTATCTTGTGTCAGCTCCAATTGCTTTAGAGACTCCGGCCACTGTCTTCGGATCCAGAACTTCTCTATCTTGTGTCAGTCCCGATTGCTTTAGAGACTCAAGCCACTGTCTTCGGATCCAGAACTTCTCTATCTTGTGTCAGTCCCGATTGCTTTAGAGACTCCAGCCACTGTCTTCGGATCCAGAACTTATCTATCTTGTGTCAGCCCTGATTGCTTTAGAGACTCCAGCCACTGTCTTCGGATCCAGAACTTTTCTATCTTGTGTCAGCCCTGATTGCTTTAGAGACTCCAGCCACTGTCTTCGGATTCACAACCTATCTATCTTGTGTCAGCTCTAATTGCTTTACAGACTCCGGCCACTGTCTTCGGATCCAGAACTTCTCTATCTTGTGTCAGCCCCGATTGCTTTAGAGACTCCAGCCACTGTCTTCGGATCCAGAACTTCTCTATCTTGTGTCAGTCCCGATTGCTTTAGAGACTCAAACCACTGTCTTTGGATCCAGAACTTATCTATCTTGTGTCAGCTCCGATTTCTTTAGAAACTATAGCCACTGTCTTCGGATCCAGAACTTATCTATCTTGTGTCAGCCCTGATTGCTTTAGAGACTCCAGCCACTGTCTTCGGATCCAGAACTTCTCTATCTTGTGTCAGCCCCGATTTCTTTAGAAACTAGCCATCTTCTGGATCCAGTGTCTATCTTGTGTCAGCTACGATTTCTTTAGAAACTTTAGACTGTCTTCGGATCCAAAACTTATCTATCTTGTGTCAGCTCCGATTTCTTAGAAACGGCCACTGTCTTCGGATCTAGAACTTCTCTATCTTGTGTCAGCCCTGATTGCTTAAAGACTTTCCAGCCACTGTCTTCGATCAGAACTATCTATCTTGTGTCAGCTTTAGAGACTCCAGTCACTGTCTTCGGATTCACAACCACTGTCTTGCTTTAGGACTCCGGCCACTGTCTTCGGATCCAGAACTTCTCTATCTTGTGTCAGCTCCGAATGCTTTAGAGACTCCAGCCATTGTCTTCGGATCCAGAACTTCTCTATCTTGTGTCAGTCCCGATTGCTTTAGAGACTCAAACCACTGTCTTCGGATCCAGAACTTATCTATCTTGTGTCAGCCCTGATTGCTTTAGAGACTCCAGCCACTGTCTTCGGATCCAGAACTTCTCTATCTTGTGTCAGCCCCGATTTCTTTAGAAACTATAGCCACTGTCTTCGGATCCAGAACTTATCTATCTTGTGTCAGCTACGATTTCTTTAGAAACTATAGCCACTGTCTTCGGATCCAAAACTTATCTATCTTGTGTCAGCTCCAATTTCTTTAGAAACTATAGCCACTGTCTTCGGATCCAGAACTTATCTATCTTGTGTCAGCAGCTTTTAGAGACTCTAGCCATGTCTTTTAGACTTCTCTATCTTGTGACAGTCCCGATTGCTTTAGAGACTCCCAAGATCCAGAACTTCTCTATCTTGTGTCAGCTCCGATTGCTTTAGAGACTCCAGCCACTGTCTTCGGATCCAGAACTTATCTATCTTGTGTCAGTCCCGATTGCTTTAGAGACTCCAGCCACTGTCTTCGGATCCAGAACTTCTCTGTCTTGTGTCAGTCCCGATTGCTTTAGAGATTCAAGCCACTGTCTTCGGATCCAGAACTTCTCTATCTTGTGTCAGTCCTGATTGCTTTAGAGACTCCAGCCACTTTCTTCGGATCCAGAACGTCTCTATCTTCCTAAGCATATCATTGAGAAATCATGCACAGGAATTATGACACTATGTAATTATGATACTGAAGTGCCTAGTTTCCTTTCTAAATAGAAACAGGCTTTTTATGTTTCTCAACTATATATTCTTTACCTCTCAAAACATGGAGGTAAGTCCTCTAAGTTTGACTACTTTTCTGTCAGTTTTACTAAACTGAGAATTTTTATTTCATACCTGTGGTTTCCAATTTCTCGTATGGGAAGGTTAACACAAATGCCTGAAAAAAATGCATGTTTCTAACGACAGGCGCAAATATTGCAGCATGTTGTAAACTGGCAAAACACATTTAGATCTTCGGATGGACGCAGCAGAAGGAGAAGAAGACATTTCTTCTCTGCTATATATGTTTGTTTCCCTATCTTATTTATAATAAGAAGATTAAATATATTTCTCATCAGTGTCCAGTTTTGGAAACCTGAAGTAAATTTTCATTCTAAAAGTTGAATACCTCCCCCTCCCCCCATGCAGTTTGGGGATCCCTGCCACTGCAACAGAGACCCCATCTTGTACCTTCTTTTCTTCCACCCTTAAAAAAACATTTTTTTAAAAATATCTTTCTCTCATGCTTGAAAAAACAACTTCACTAGCCCTCTCACAAGAAATCAATAAAAGCAGTCCCTGAAGAGCACAAAGGCACTAAATACAGTTCTTGTGTGCCCACTCACACAGCAGGAGCCACAGATACTTATATCAAACTGAAAATGAACAAAGATACTCACATCAAACTGGGATGATCCACCGTAGGACAATGGTTTGATTGCCATGTGATCAAGAAAATCCTCTCGTCTGCAACAACGAAAAACAGTAACACAATAAGTACAATTTCATACCAGCATATTTTCACGGCGTTCTATAAATAACTGTTGTATAAACATGGGTAAGGACAGCTGGTGACTGAGTACTTTTGTGTGTGCATAACAGATCAGTCCCTGCATTTCGCATAGGTTCCGAGGCCCCATTTGGTGGAAAAGGGGGGGGGGGAAATTAAAAAGCCCCCCCATCTCCCCCCCCAACAAGCATGTCATAAGAAGTTGACTTATTAGAGGTGTTTTCTTCGAACTCGATGTGCATTTTCCTGTAAGGTGAGGAACCAACAGTCTGCATACAAATAAGCAAAATCTGTAAAAGTACTGGTGCTGATATATTGAGTACTGGTGATGATATACTCTGTTACGTACTGGTGCTGATATACTCTGTTGAGTACTGGTGCTGATATACTCTGTTGAGTACCAGTGCTGATATACTCTGTTGAGTACTGGTGCTGATATACTTCATTGAGTACTGGTGTTGATATACTCAATTAAGTACTGGTGCTGATATAATCCATTGAGTAATGGTGCCTGATATACTCCACTGAGTACTGATGCTGATATACTTCACTGAGTATTGATGTTGATATAATCAATTAAGTACTGGCTCTGATATAAAAGTACTGGTGCTGATATATTGAGTACTGGTGATGATATACTCTGTTGAGTACTGGTGCTGATATACTCTGTTGAGTACTGGTGCTGATATACTCTGTTGAGTACCGGTGCTGATATACTTCATTGAGTACTGGTGCTGATATACTCAATTAAGTACTGGTGCTGATATACTTCATTGAGTACTGGTGCTGATATACTCAATTAAGTACCGGTGCTGATATACTTCATTGAGTACTGGTGCTGATATACTCAATTAAGTACTGGTGCTGATATAATCCATTGAGTAATGGTGCCTGATATATTCCATTGAGTACTGGTGCTGATATATTCCACTGAGTACTGGCGCTGATTTCTCCATCGAGTGTACTCTGTTGAGTACTGGTGCCGATATACTCTGTTGAGTACTGGTGCTGATATACTCTGTTGAGTATTGGTGCTGATTTATTCCATTGAGTACTGGTGCTGAGAAAATGTTGAGTACTGGTGCTGATCTATTCCACTGAGTACTGCTACTGGTGCTGACACACTCTGTTGAGTACTGGTGCTGATATACTTTGTTGAGTGCTTAATAATCGTTATTTTTGTTTTGTTTTTTTAAATCTTTATTTTTATTTTTTCCCCTCTAGAATTGCATTCTTTAGGATTAGCATCTGAAGAAAAAGAATCTAACAAGTACAAATCTTAAAACCGATACATGTACACATTACAAAGTTGCATACAGCTTCATTCTTGTTTGGTAATCAAAACAGCCTATGATTATCAAATAATGAATATCTCTCTCTCTCTCTCTCCTGCCTTTCTATCACCCAATGGAGCATAGGCCCTCAAACAACTCATGTTAAGTCGTTCTATCCTTCGCCATTGCATGGAGCTCTCCCCATGTCCTCCCCATCTTTCTAACTTCATTTCCAGGTCTCTTCCCCGTGTGTTTTTTGGCCTTTCTTTATGCCTATGCCCTTGTGGGTTCCAATGCAAAGACATTCTAGTTATGCTGTTCTCCTGTTTTCTCAGTGTGTGTCCTATCCAACGCCAGCGTCTTTTCCTCACCTCTTGGTCCACTGGAGCCTGTTTAGTTCTCTACCAAAGTTTTACATTAGTTATTCTATCATACGATTTAATTCCCTCTATTCTGTGCAGGCACCAGTTAATGAATGTCAGTAATTTACCAAACGTTGAAACAAAAAAAAAATCATTAAAAACCTCACACCCCATGGCTAGCTTTAACAAAAAAAAAAAATAACAGAAGACACTTTAAAGAATTAGGTTTTAGATGATCACGTTGATTAACATGTTTTTTCACAACAAAAGCCAGTTTAAAAAAAAAATGAAGTCTGAAGTCACTGTTGTATTTATTTCTCATTTATCTACCCAAGACAAGAACTTGTAGAACCTGAAACAAGGGCAGACAAACTGACATCACTATCTATCTCACAAAATCCTAATGGATTCCACACAAAGCCGGGGGGAGTGATGTTGTTAGTTCCCTTTTAAGAAGCCTGTTGCTAAGAATGTAAAGTGCTTCCAAATTAATGGTTTTTGTACCGGGACTGTCGGGGACTGAGCGAACCTAGAAAGTCTCTCAGAAAATGAACATAATCATTTAGTCTAGCTAAGGGGAAAAAAAAAATTTGAGTGCACAAAGAACACAGTGGTTAGAAACCAAATAAATGAAAGGACTTAATAAAAAGAACCTAAACAAGAATTAATTGGCATCAGTTTTACAGATCTATGAAGGGTTCCTTGCCTTCAAGGTCGGAAGCTCCCCAATTAGTCGATAAAAATTCCCCACAATGGGGCCCCGGACCAAGAATTAATTGGATGAAGGGTTCAAGGTCGGGATAAAAATTAAAGGACCAAGAAACCAATTAGAGAACTAAAAAGTGAAACATACAATAAATTAATTGAATCATCATCATCAACATTAATTTCTCCTTCTGCGGTTAAACATTGAGGGTAAGAACAGTTTGCGATCCATTGCTTGATGAGTAGAAATGGCTACTGTCATTCTGTTTTGATGTAGAAACTCTTTTATGTCATCAATCCATCTTTGAAACTTTTTATGTTTTCTGCCCCAAAACAGAGCATAATTGGCCTTTCATTCATGCTTCCTGACCTGTCAAACGTGCTGGGCTATGTTAGAGAGGTGTCAGGTTGTGTTGTCTTTGCGAAGAGCTTTCTATATTGTGCGTTATGTGGGCTGCAAACTAGACATTGTGTTTTACTGTTGTTGTGAGCAGGTGATGACACTGCGTATATTACAGAGCTCAAGTACAGCATGAATTTAGTTCAGCTGTCAGCGTTAACTAGTGACAAGGAGAACAGCGTTGCTTTTCTGCAGCAAGACAGGTTTTTAGGGAACACCGGAAAATGTTAACAATTCTGAAACCATGGGACATAGTCTGGTCCTCTCTCTTGTGGGATAGAGCTGAGGCTGTGGGGTAGGGGGGGTTGAGGTTAAGGCCAGTTGTAGATGTTGTGGGGTCCTTAAAAGCAGTTAGATCATGTAATATCGAGCACAGGATATCGCCGAAGACAGTATTGAAGACAATACAATGTGACAAGGGATGTAGCCTGCATTCTCTTGTGGGATGTAGGCTGAGGTTATGGGTTAGTGGGTTGGGGTTAGGGCCAGTTCTAGATGTTTTGACGGCTTTTAAAGCGGTCACATCTTGTAATTCAGTATGTCTGTCATCGCCGGTGAGAGCGTCAAAGACAGCGCTACGTGACACCACTGTAACATAGACTAGCATGTGTGAAAGGTCAGGAAGCATAAATGAAAGGCCAATTACGCTCTGTTTGGGGCAAAAAAAAAAAACACCTTCTCCTAGGGTGTCCTATTACTTTCACTTCAGATCTTTTCATGTGTAGAGCCTGCGCTGGTAGTTGTTCTGGCTGCATTCTTACTAAATGACCAAAGCATAAGATCTTCTGTTTCTCAATGAATTTACTTGATGGTGTTGTTCCTACAATCTGTCTGATAATATCATTTCTAACTTTGTCTTGGGTGGTTAAGCTGGCAACTTTCCTCAGGCATCTCATTTCACAGGTGTTAATTTTATGAAGATTAGCCTTTGATAATGTCCAAGTCTGGCACTGGTAGCACAGTGTTGGTATGAATATGCTGTTTATAATCTGTGTCTTGGCGCTCATACACAATTTAATGAAGAATTTAAAAAATGTGAGTTAATCAAATTTGCAAAACAAATCAACATGTTCTCTCTGCTTACTTTGCTGTGGTTAAAACTTAAATTTATGATTTCTCTTTATATTCTTTTTTGGGGGTCTTATGGTCACATTTGTATTGTGATTAACTGTCAATCATATTTGTTGTTATTCATATATTTAAATGCACTCCTTGTAATGGCTGGTCATGTAATCCATGTGTTACGGTTTCTATGCTTCATGTATATTTCTGTTTTACCTAGAATATTAATTATACGTTTTAACTGGGTCACTGAATTAAAATATTATTTGTATATGTTAAGTTTAGTTCAAGTGCTAGCTATTTTACAGCTTTCTATGAAGGAGCTTGTATACTCAAGAGTAGTCACCCTTGAAACTAAGTGTTTCAAACTCTAGAGGATCTATTTTTTTCGCACTATGTTTTATCCCTATGTGGATATGGCTCGGTATCTTCCGGCAGAAATAGTTTCTGTCTTCCAAGAGCATCACACCCACAAATTAACTCCACCAATGATCCTCCAGGGACTTCCACACTAAAAAAATAGCATTCACACTTATAAACTGAATGATGAAGTCCGTGAAGTTAAATCTAAATCTTCAGAGTACGAGGCAAACAGCTTAACCCCTCAGCAACTGAGACCCCAGTCCTGGAAACTCCATGGGTTATAATAATACAGCTTTGGGGCAGAATGAGTTAAAGTAATAGTTCGGCTAGAATAAAGCAATAATTTTAGCTACAATGGATTAATGAAAGGATTCAGCCAGAATAGATAAATGTAATGATTCATCTAGAAAGAATGAATTCAAGTACAGTGGATTGCTATAATGATTCAGCTAGAGTGAATTAATTTCAGGAAACAGCTAGAATGCAATTAACGTTAAGGATTCAGCTTGAATTGATTAATATAAAGCTTTCAGCAATATTATTTTAATGTAACAATCAAATGTTCTATGTTTCACCCCTATCTGTTATCAAAGAAAAAGTACACAGATGAATAAAATTTAATCTCCCCGTTTCGGTCCAGGGCCACATTGTCGGGAGAACAAGAATAGAACCCCTGCCTCGCCAACAAGCATGTCGTTAAAGTCCACTAATTGGAGGCTTCCTTCGAAGCTGGATGCATCTGTCTGACAGGAAACGGATCAACATCATGGCACACGGGTAGTAACCCATAAGTGCTCCGTTCTACTTCTAACTCAAGTCTGAGTCTGAAGAATCTCAGTGCAGTGCATGATCTCTGGCAAATATGCTGAAATACTTTGGGTAGATTTTTAACTCCAAATTTTGCCTGGGCAGCATCGATAGGCTACTCTTTTCGATTTCCAACTGCCAAGGGATTTTTTTTTACATGTGCAACATTACATACGGGCATAAGATCTCACTACCTAAAAACCAGGGAAAATTACTCAAGTCCACGTGAAAAAAAATCCCAGCTTTCACCGGGGCTTGAACCCGGGACTCGAGCACTTAAGTCAGACGTCATGCCTTGAGACCACGCAGCCCCCTCTCTGACAGGCAAGGAGCCAACAATAAGCCAGATATGTAAAATTAATGTGCACGCAACACTCAGGTTTTGAAACAAGACTAGAGTCCAGATGTGGACAAACAATACAAGACTAAAGTCCAGAGGTGAACAAACAATACAAGACTAAAAGCCAGAGGTGGACAAACAATACAAGACTAAAGTCCAGAGGTGGTCAAACAATCAGAAATTTCAGCCAGAGTTTGCAGCTAGAGAACATGAAGAAGAAGGAGAAGAAATTAATCTTTGAAAAGCGTTAATTATTATGTCCACACACTTTGAATTTTGACATCAATAACTTACCTGTGAATGACCAGTTTAACGATCGGTGCGGTGACACCTTTGATCACTGCGGATGCATTCAGATGACTAAGGCCAAGTAGATTGACACCATTTATCTGAAGGCAAAAACAACAGTTCAGGCTGAGATTGGGACAAGTGATTCAGAAAATGGCGACTGGCCTGTTACCAGAGAACTTGTGGTGCCTTACGTGACTAATTATGTGTGCAAATACAGATATGTTGTAACTGCTGCTTCCATAGATGACAAACTTCATTTCTAGTGTCAGACTGTTTGTGTTGGCACTTCTGCCTGCTGACTAGGCATTTAATGCGGTTGGATTTGTTAAGACTGCAGTCTGTGCTTATTTGTCCACAACAGACAGTGGTGGACATTCCATGTGGTGTTTTCATTGACACAGGAATAGAGCAACTATGAGATGATCCATTTGCTGAAGTTGAAACTGCGATTACCTGCTATAACTGATGTTTTTATTTTTGATCTCTATCTACTAAAAATACAAATCAAGCTAAAGGAATAACAGCAGCGGTGTGAACTTTAATCAACATAACAGTGTAGTAGATATTTTGTAGAACATCCTTCCCATATCCTCCAGGAAAAATCCCTAGTGTCTGCCCAGTGTGTCCTACAGACTAGTGTCTGCCCAACATGTCCTACAGACTAATGTCTGCCTAGGATGTTCTACAGACTAGTGTCTGCCCAACATGTCCTACAGACTAATGTCTGCCCAGGATGTTCTACAGACTAGTGTCTGCCCAGGGTGTTCCTCAGACTAGTGTCTGCCCAGGATGTTCGACAGACTAGTGTCTGCCCAGGATGTCCTACAGACTAGTGACTGCCCAGTGTGTCCTACAGACTAGTGTCTGCCCAGTATGTCCTACAGACTAGTGTCTGCCCAGGATGTCCTACAGACTAGTGTCTGCCCAGTATGTCCTACAGACTAGTGTCTGCCCAGTATGTCCTACAGACTAGTGTCTGCCCAGTATGTCCTACAGACTAGTGTCTGCCCAGGATGTCCTACAGACTAGTGACTGCCCAGGATGTCCTACAGACTAGTGTCTGCCCAGTATGTCCTACAGACTAGTGTCTGCCCAGGATGTCCTACAGACTAGTGTCTGCCCAGGATGTCCTACAGACTAGTGTCTGCTCAAGATGTCCTGCAGACTAGTGTCTGCCCAGGATGTCCCTCAGACTAGTGTCTGCCCAGTATGTCCTACAGACTAGTGTCTGCCCAGTATGTCCTACAGACTAGTGTCTGCCCAGGATGTCCTACAGACTAGTGTCTGCCCAGTATGTCCTACAGACTAGTGTCTGCCCAGGATGTCCTACAGACTAGTGACTGCCCAGTATGTCCTACAGACTAGTGTCTGCCCAGGATGTCCTACAGACTAGTGTCTGACCAGGATGTCCTACAGACTAATGTCTGCCCAGCATGTCCTACAGACTAGTGTCTGCCTAGGATGGCCTACAGACTAATGTCTGCCCAGGATGTCCTACAGACTAGTGTCTGCCCAGGATGTCCTACAGACTAGTGTCTGCCCAGTATGTCCTACAGACTAGTGTCTGCCCAAGATGTCTTACAGACTAGTGTCTGCCAAGAATGTTCCACAGACTATTGTCTGACTAGGATGTTCCACAGACTAGTGTCTGCCCAGGTTGTCTTAGAAACTAGTGTCTGCTCAAGATGTTCTGTAGACTAATGTCTCCAATAATGGCCCATTTAAAGACAAAGAGTTAAGGTCACAATAAACCTAAATACCTTTGCACACATGATGAAGTCTACATACCACATCTCAGAGCAGGAGTTTTACTAAACATCTAAAAAATAGATAAATATTACCTCTAACAGTTCGTCGCCAACCTGGATCCTTCCGTCCCGGGCTGCCACGCTCTCTGGCTGGATGCCAGCGATGAAAACACTCATTTTATTCCGATCTTTGTTACCGGCCAGTGCGAGCCCCATACCTGAAGTACCCCGGTTCAAATCCACCAGATGAAGGGTGCCAGGCAGGTCAAGGTATTTCTTTTTAATGTGCTCTGGAATTAGAAAAAAGGCACAAGAATTAATGTTTCACCGTACCTGGACAAGAATGTCTCTATTATAAACTCAACTAGTTTTACTGTACTTAACAGCGGATGTCGTCAATATCCCGGACTTGTTTTACTGTACTCAATAGTGCATGTCTATATCCCAGATGTGTTTTACTGTACTCAGTAGTGCATGTTTAAATTTTGAATGTGTTTTACTGTACTCAGTAGTGCATGTTTACATTTTGAATGTGTTTTACTGTACTCAGTAGTGCATGTTTAAATTTTGAATGTGTTTTACTGTACTCAGTAGTGTATGTCTATATCCAGGGTGCGTTTTACTGTACTCAAGTCTCTATTCCAGATATTATTGTACATAAACAGTCCGTCTCAGCATCTTGGTCATACTTTCCTGTACCCAACACAACGTGTCTACATCAATTATTTGTAGCCAGTTTGTGCTTCATTTTTGAAAAACACCAAACTACATCTGCACATGTATGATGCTGTATCAGGCAGCTGGAAGGAAACGCCAGTTTGGAAACATCTCTTTACCCTAAAAAAAAAAGTGGTGATATTATTCCCCCCATGAATGTTTAGGCGAGCATCAAATTAAATACGTATAACTGAGCTCTAGATGCCTGGGTAAACACAAAAGTGTCTACTCACTTTTCGTATAGCCAAACTCATCTTCTGACTCACTGTCAGTAACGGAGTCCGACATCTTGACATCACCCTGGCAACAAAAAAGACAAAAATAGTTTTAATATTAAAAAAAAAAAAAAAAATTTAAGGCAATAATTGCAGATTTACATTTGATCAGTCACAAGAGGTATTCAGAATAAATTACATTGAAACAATACAAGTTAGTATCATACAGATTGACATTTGATCAGTCACAAGAAGTATTCAGAATAAATTACATTGAAACAATACAAGTTAGTATCATACAGATTTACGTTTGATCAGTCACAAGAAGTATTCAGAATAAATTACATTGAAACAATACAAGTTAGTATCATACAGATTTACATTTGATCAGTCACAAGAAGTATTAAGAATAAATTACATTGAAACAATACAAGTTAGTATCATACAGATTTACATTTGATCAGTCACAAGAAGTATTCAGAATAAATTACATTGAAACAATACAAGTTAGTTTCATACAGATTTACATTTGATCAGTCACAAGAAGTATTCAGAATAAATTACATTGAAACAATACAAGTTAGTTTCATACAGATTTACATTTGATCAGTCACAAGAAGTATTCAGAATAAATTACATTGAAACAATACAAGTTAGTTTCATACAGATTTACATTTGATCAGTCACAAGAAGTATTCAGAATAAATTACATTGAAACAATACAAGTTAGTATCACACAGATTTACATTTGATCAGTCACAAGAAGTATTAAGAATAAATTACATTGAAACAATACAAGTTAGTATCATACAGATTTACATTTGATCAGTCACAAGAAGTATTAGGAATAAATTACATTGAAATACACACAAGTTAGTATCATACAGATTTACATTTGATCAGTCACAAGAGGTATTCAGAATAAATTACATTGAAACAATACAAGTTAGTATCATACAGATTTACATTTGATCAGCCACAAGAAGTATTCAGAATAAATTACATTGAAACAATACAAGTTAGTATCATACAGATTTACATTTGATCAGTCACAAGAAGTATTAGGAATAAATTACATTGAAACAATACAAGTTAGTATCATACAGATTTACAACTTAGATGCTCAAGATCTCTGTGTGGGTTCCCAGGCCCACTGTGAGGTCAACAAAAAAAGACCAACTGCCTCCCCGTCAAGCATATCGGCATATCGTAAGAGTTGACTAACTGGTATCTTCCTTCAAAGTCGGAGTGTCTCTGCCTGAGAGCCAAGGAACCAACAATCTGCATACAAATAAGTCAGATCTGTTTAACGGATATGCATACAACACACAGGTTCTGAAACAAGACTAAAGCCTAGAGTTTGACAAACAACCAGAACTTTCACAGTCGATGAATGTGAAGAAGAAGAAGATGGTAAATACAGAAAAACAATTTACTTTTAAATAACTAAAGGGATAGGAGACCCACTGAGAAAACCTGAGAACAAAATAACTAGAATATCTCTGTACTGGAACCCACAGGGAGCACAGAAATAAAGACACACCAGAAACATACAGAAAGGAACTAGAGTGTTAAGCTACAAAGATAGGGACAGAATGAGGCGAACTGCGCGCGATAACTAAGGATAAGATGATCTGTTGTGAGTTGGCTGAGGGCCTATGTTCCATTGGGGAATAGAGGACAGAAGAAAAAAGAAAAAGAAGAAGAAGGAAGAAGGGAGGTGGAGGAGGAGGATGAGGAATAGGAGGAGGAGGAAGAGGAAGAAGAAGAGGAAAAAAAAGAAGAAGAAGAAGGAGGAGGAGGAGAAGGAGGAGGAGGAGGATGAGGAGAAGAAGAAGAATACACAGATTAAGATAACAGCTTTAATAACGTATCTGTATAATACAATTATAATGATTTTATTCTTAATTTTATAAATATATTCACATCCATTCTTACGAGAGAAGGTGTAGAACAAACGCTGACCTGATGGGATGAAGGTTCCGGAGACGACGGTGAGGAACTCTCTGTTCTTAAGGCTGCTTTCTTAAATGACTGAACTGACTTCACTGGGGATGACTCGAGGTCAGTGGGCTGCTGACAGAGTTACAGGAAGTTAACGAGCATAAAGACTGACGCATAAATTGTAGTTACTGACATATAATGACTGTCATATAAATTAAAGTTAACCAGCATAATGACTGACACACAATGATATAATGACACACAATGATATAATGACACACAATGATATAATGACACACAATGATATAATGACACACAATGATATAATGACACACAATGATATAATGACACACAATGATATAATGACACACAATGATATGACACACAATGATATGACACACAATGATATAATGACACACAATAATATGACACACAATGATATGACACACAATGATATAATGACACACAATAATATAATGACACACAATGATATGACACACAATGATATGACACACAATGATATGACACACAATGATATGACACACAATGATATGACACACAATGATATAATGACACACAATGATATAATGACACACAATGATATGACACACAATGATATGACACACAATGATATAATGACACACAATGATATAATGACACACAATGATATAATGACACACAATGATATGACACACAATGATATGACACACAATGATATGACACACAATGATATAATGACACACAATGATATAATGACACACAATGATACACACAATGATATAATGACACACAATGATATAATGACACACAATGATATAATGACACACAATGATATAATGACACACAATGATATAATGACACACAATGATATAATGACACACAATGATATGACACACAATGATATAATGACACACAATAATATGACACACAATGATATGACACACAATGATATAATGACACACAATGATATAATGACACACAATGATATGACACACAATGATATGACACACAATGATATGACACACAATGATATGACACACAATGATATGACACACAATGATATAATGACACACAATGATATGACACACAATGATATGACACACAATGATATAATGACACACAATGATATAATGACACACAATGATATAATGACACACAATGATATGACACACAATGATATGACACACAATGATATGACACACAATGATATAATGACACACAATGATATAATGACACACAATGATACACACAATGATATAATGACACACAATGATATAATGACACACAATGATATAATGACACACAATGATATAATGACACACAATGATATAATGACACACAATGATACACACAATGATATAATGACACACAATGATATAATGACACACAATGATATAATGACACACAATGATATAATGACACACAATGATATACTGACACGCAATGATATAATGACACACAATGATATAATGACACACAATGATATAATGACACACAAACTATTTGCTGTTGATGTCATAACTTTCACTGTTAGACTGTTATATATTTGTGCAAATTCTGAATGACCAAAAAACATATGGTGATTTGTTCGGTCCTGAAAGTATTAAAAGACCTAAATGAACCAGGCAGGTTTCTCTCCCAATCATAAAACAAAAACAGTGAAGTAATTTAGATAGCAACTAACAAGCATTCAAATCTCAATCAGGTTAGCGTAATATGCTTAAATAATGAAACACAAATATAATGTAAACTAGGGCAAAAAAAGAAAAACGATTCACATTTTCAAAAAACCCACATAAGAAGGTAAATTAAAAATTGCTATCTGCAGACGCTAAAGTAATATATTCTCAACATAATGAAATAATACTTTGCTAAATTAAAATCGTGGATGTTCAGGAGAATTAGCTTCTAAATAATCAAACATGGCAGTGAATAAAATATTCCCAAGGTGAATATGAAAGACTTTGGTTAAGATTTGTGCTTACGCAAGGCAAATTTGAAAGACTTCGCACAACAGATATAATTGGGTTTGGGGAATTGCAAATGGCTTCCAACATAGAAATTATCATCTACTTTTTTAAAATTAGTTATTACGTATAAATATTTTTACAAGAAAAAAGGATAATTGGCTTGAATGTCTTTCAACAATTAAGAGTTGTACTTACGCAAGGTGAATATGAAAGACTTTGTACAACAAACGTAATTGGGTTTGGGGAATTGCGAATGGCTTCCACAGCCTCGTCATGAGTAGCATTTCTGACATCACAACCACTCACCTGCAGAAAGATAACAACAATGGAAGAAATATGTTTGCATCCATCATCTACATTATAATTATGGTTCTTTTCTTTATCTGCCATTATTCTTTAGATCAAGTGGGCAGCCGTCATGTTTAGTGGCTAAATGCTTGCCTGCGGAATGGAAAGTCACAAGTTCGGGCTCTGACAGAGACAAACTTCAAAAAAAAAAAATGACCTTGGCTCCTAGGTCAACACAACCTTAAAATCGGTGCCAGTTAAAGTCCTGGGAAGGAAAGGCGGCCGGTGCGACACTGACCACATCACCCATGAAGTGCAAGTTGGTCTATAAAATATAGTTCTAGCTCTATATGCCTAATGTGCCTAAAGGTGTGGAAAATGGTTCATTACTTTACTAAGTCAAAAGAGGAAAGATTAAATACAATTGTAAAGTACACATACACCCAGGGCAAACGAGGAAATGTTAAATACAGCTTTAAAAAAAAATATTTACCCCAGGCTAGAAAAAGAAGAATTAAACAGTCTAAATAAAGCTGTAAAATACAAACATAATACAAAAGCTGGACTTACTTCCAGGATGCGATCCCCTTTCTTGAGTGTTCCGTTCCTGCCTGCAGGACTGTTAGCTATAACCTGCTTGATGAATATGCCAGCATTGCTGTGTTCCTGCGACACATTAAACATATCCACTCTGCCCCCTGCAGAAAAGATCAAATATTACCAAAAACCATATTTTCCTATGTATAAGACAATATCTTTTCCCATTGTCTTGTCTAAGGAATGTTGCAATTCTGGTCAAAATGGACGATAGGCATGGTGACTGTACTGGTTGTGGCAAATGTTTTGCTTCTGACAAACTGAGGCCGCTGCATTTTCCTCCATTTGTAGACTGAAAGTAAAATAGTTCTGTTGCTCAGCTACTGAGATGAATGCATTGTGTGACACTATGAGCTGCACATTTCATCTGAAATGTTTTTTAAATGTGTCCAACATGAAGCTGTGAACTGTAGATTCGGAAAAGGTCATGGTGTCTGTTGCCACAGAACTGGGAGTGTCTTGTGATTAAAACTGATAGGTGTACAACTGCTGATCTGACTGTAACTGCTGCTTCCATCAATAATGAACTACTGGGACGGTTTGTGTTAGCACTTCTGATGGCTGCCTTAAGCTTTTAATGCATGTATATGCTAGTGGCTAAGCTGAGACTGCAGTCTGTGTCAATGTTTCCACAAGGGATGTTCTGTGTGTTTTTCATTGGCACAGAAGCTGAGCAACTATGAGGTGACCCATTTGCTATAAAGCTAAAACTAAGATTACCAATTAAATATACTATCAAGTGCCCTGCTGACTGGAGTGAGTAATCATGCATCTCCACAATCTGCGATCTGCAACTGTGTGTATCAGTTCGTGTATTGACACCCCTTCATGCCATGACAAAAAACTGTCAAGAATCTTCTCATGCTGTCCGCCTCTGTGTCTCCCTCCACAGATCTTTCTTGTGGATACAACATGTTTCAATTTCCTTTTTCTCATAACATAACCAAAGAACAATTACTGACTCTTTCTTTTATAAGTTAAATATAGAAATAAATACACACAGCTGTTCATATTCTCCCTGCTCCCACAGCCGCCCCTCACTATTGGCCTCACAAAAAGCCATGGTCTGGTACTTCACCCAGAAGCCCCCGCTCTAGACATTGTTTCTTCCACCTGGTTCCCTCAGCCACTCTCATGGCTACCCAGATCCCCCTCCCCATTTCCAAGTGTACTCATTCAGGCAACTCTGGTCATTGCAGCTCCGTTATCAGCATTCACAGCTCCCTTTAAGCCCAGCTCAAAGTAACCTCCCTCCAAGCATAATCAAAGTAACCTCCCTCCAAGCATGATTAAAGAAACCTCCCTCCAAGCATAATCAATGTAACCTCCTTCCAAGCATAATCAAAGTAACCTCCCTCCAAGCATAATCAAAGCAATCTCCCTCCAAGCATAATTAATGTAACCTCCCTCCAAGCATAATCAATGTAACCTCCCTCCAAGCATAATCAAAGTAATCTCCCTCCAAGCATAATCAAAGCAATCTCCCTCCAAGCATAATCAAAGTAACCTCCCTCCAAGCATAATCAAAGTAACCTCCCTCCAAGCATAATCAAAGTAATCTCAATCCAAGCAAAATCAAAGTAACCTCCCTCCAAGCATAATCAAAGTAATCTCCCTCCAAGCATAATCAAAGTAACCTCCCTCCAAGCATAATCAAAGTAACCTCCCTCCAAGCATAATCAAAGTAATCTCCCTCCAAGCATAATCAAAGTAATCTCCCTCCAAGCATAATCAAAGTAACCTCCCTCCAAGCATAATCAAAGTAACCTCCCTCCAAGCATAATCAAAGTAATCTCCCTCCAAGCATAATCAAAATAACCTCCCTCCAAGCATAATCAAAGTAATCTCCCTCCAAGCATAATCATAGTAATCTCCCTACAAGCCATATTCAAAGTAATCTCCATCCAAGCCTTAATAAAAGTAATCTCCCTCCAAGCCCTCCTCAAATTAATTTACCTCCAAGCCTTAATCAAAGTAATCTCCCTCCAAGATCTACTCAAAGTAACCTCTCCCAGCCACACTCAAGGTAATCTTTCCCTAAGCGCTTCTTAAAGTAATTTCTGACTCCCTCTTGCTTCAAAGTAATGACCCCATTCTCCCAAGATATACTTAAGTAATATCTACATCTTGCTAAAATAAATAACGACCTCAACTGAACGGGCCATATACCCTATTACAATTTTTTTTCAAAATTAAGGGTATTTACATCCTTGGGTAGCTTAATCTATTTAAAAAAAAAAAACATTAAAAAATAAATAAATAAAAGAACCGAATGTGATTTATTGTTGGCTAAAATGACAGGTTTTTCTCCCATCAAAATTCCAGTACCACAACTACTACTAAAATAAATATTGCTTACCCACAATGCTAATTCCCAAGCTCCTCTCAGGTTCTCTGATCAACTGGACAATCCGGGGTGGACCCCACACCTGGTTGCCAACAGCTGATGACCCATCAGTCTGAAGTGTTTTCTGGCCAGATACCATACCAGATTTGGCCTCCACAGGGCTGGCTTGCCTGGCTAGTGGTGTGTCTATCACTGTGACAGCTTCTTCTGGTAGGACTTGGGACTGCTCTGTTGCCATGAACGCTGCTGCATCATGTGACCTGGAAAGATGCAGTATTGTGAGACTTTTATTTATAAATATCCCCAAGTGGGTTCCAGGGATAAATAATGGCGGGAAAAGAAAGAATCGACCCATGGTCCTCCCGCCAACAAGCATGCTGTACAAGAAGTTGACCATTAGGGCTGTTTTCTTCGTGCCTGTGGTGAGGAGTCAAATCAGTATAGTAATAAGCAAGATCTGCAAAACAGATACGCATACAAAACTCAAATTCTGAAACAAGATTTAAGTCTAGATAAACAACTAGAACTTTCTACCAGAGTTTACAGCCGGAAGAAGAAGAAGAAGAAAATAAACAGAAGAAGAAGATCAGAAGAATGCAAGAAGAAGAAGAGAAGAGAAGAGAAGAAGAAAAGAGAAGAAGAGGATGCTGACCACATCGCCCACCAAGTGCTGATCGGCCTACAAAATATAGGTCTAGCCCTATATGCCTGTATGTGTTAAAAATGGTCCTTTACTTGTTTGATGTGTCTTTGGTACTTGTACCATCAGAATTGTAACTCTTTGCTTGCTGCTGAAGATTGGGATGGAGCGCTTATGGGGGTGTCCTGAGCGCTGTGATGTCGATTAATAATTCAACATTTAACATGTAATTTTAATATTGCGCAGGCTTGTGCTGTGGAGAAGAGAAACTTATCACTGGATTTAATTGGTTATGATTTCCAGGCCTCTCGATTAGTGATTAGAAAGAATTATCATCACAGCACTCCGGACAGATCCATAAGTTCTCCGATCTCTTCCTCAAAAGCTCCACAAGTGTAAAACGACTAATGACGCCTGTTCTGTGTTGGTTAATGAAAAGTCTTGTCCCCTTAGTGAAATGTTCATTTCTTGTAGCTCCAGGCTGCACACCCATGTCCATCAGTCTAGTCAGGGATATGGAGTCATGTCCTTTGGCGTGCTCCTCGGTACGGTAAGTGCAGCACATGGCATTGATAACATCACTTCTGTCCAGTACTGGACCAGCCGTAGCAACCGCAGTGTCAGCAAGATAGTCGGCATGCTCGTTCCCTTGAACACCCGTATGACCTGGCATAAAGATGAAGGTTAGGGCAGATAAAATCGTGAAGTGCTTAGTGTTGCAATTCATTCTTGCCTGATAAATCCAGCTTGGATTTTTTTTAAGCTAATGTATGCGATAAAACAGTTTAACACTTTAGTCTAGAAGATAAAAAAGTTTCCTGCAAAAAATGAAAATAAATGTCAGTCGTAAGAGTTGAATAATTGGGAGCTTCCTTCAAAGTAGGAGCGCATCTGCCTGAGAGGCAAGAAACCAACAGTCTGCAGACAAATGAGTCAGACTTGTGAAACAAATGTGCACGCAATAATCAGGTTTTGCAACAAGACTAGAGTCCAGAAGTGGACAAACAACCAGAACTTTTAGCTTGAGTTTACTGCTGGTGAAAAAGAAGAATTCAATATCATAGATGGAAATCAGTCCAGCACTGCTGGCTCTCTCATCAAAGTTCATTGTGGGTTTTTTATTTTGCTGTGTTCAACACCACATGGGGTGTTGATTACATGAACCCACACGGGCTGTTGATTATATGAACCCACATGAACCCACATGGGGTGTTGATTACATGAACCCACATGGGGTGTTGATTATATGAACCCACATGGGGTGTTGCCCTCCACTTTCCCCCCCCCCCCCTGCAACACTTTTTAAATGTAAATAAAAAGGAAGAGGACAAAAATAAAAGGCCCCAATTACAATCAACTCTTTCAGTTCTAGGTAGTTTGGCATCACAGGCCCTAAGGTGTGGTCAAGAGAGTAGAGTCATATAATTGGTGCACCTTGCATTCACTGGGCTTCTAGGTAAGAACTTATGAGCGTATGATGTGTTCTTTGGGATTTAACTTCTTTTGGGAGTTAAGAAGAACGTGGAGAAAAACATCCACATAAATCAAAGTATCAAAAACACACACAAACACACCAAAAACAACCATCAGCAAAGGGTAATTTAGTTAGTGTCCAAGAATCATTGTGGGGGCTGATACTGTTTGATGTTGGACAAGGCAGGACAGAGATCACTCCATATGAAGCTAGCAGGTCTGTTTTGTTTTTTATGACTGTTACTGTTAATATAATAGTTTGTTTATAACAAAACTGTGAAAAAAAGTTACATAAATATAATTGCCTGCTGCCCCTTGAAACTAACTTGCGCCCCCAGCAAGGAAAAAGCCAAACTGATATAGAGGATGATGACCACAATAGCAACAAATTAGCAACTTAAAATGTATATTTAAAAAAAAAAACACACACATCAATTTAATCATAAATCAGCAATTTCAAGCATCTTAATCGTGTGATGACACAGGACATACAGCCTCTACTCTTTGGCTTCAAGTATAGATGGAGTTCTAGCAACAGGCCTCACCCTCAAAGGTAAGTCCAAGTCGCTTAATATGTGATGTTATTAATATTTAGTTATTATGTATAATAGAATACATTGTATTCAACCTATTTGTATTCTTGCTTGCAACTGAATTGTATCATCGTCGGTTTACTGGTTTAGTTTGTGTCATATAGGCAGATGAAGGCTTTTCTAGCCGCAACGTTCATTATGTCATTTTGTATATGCCATACTGTACAGTCAGTACAGCTTAATCTAAAATAGTTCTACGTTTAAATTAATCTAGACTTGTCATTTTCCCCAGCAGTATTTTCAAGCATAACATCAACACAATGACTATTTTAATAGTCATTAAATCGGCTTAGCCTAACACTGTTTGAAAAAGAATGATCGAATTTCAGTAAGTATTCATTAGAAGTAATATAACGGACATTACATCAGTCATATATTTCAACATAACCCTGGAGGTTGAACAGGATAAAGGATCGATATTTAACGATAACTAATAAACACGAAATTGAACTTACACGAAATTCCGCAAACTCCTCGTTATATTCGTAGACAAACTATTTCGACATAATTTTAGAAATGAAAATGCATCTGTTTCTTGCCATAAACCAGTGTTTCTTAATATTTTTACACCAGTGGCCCATCAAAACAGGGGAATTAATAGTTAACAGCGGTTTAGTTGTTAAATGGGATGTAACAAAATTACAGTTCTCATCATACAAAATGAAATTCCGGGGGTGTTAATCATACAGACTGGGGAAAAAAAATAATTCCTACCATACCTCGTTACATGAGCAGATTTGTCCCTCCCACCCTTTCTGCGGCACACAGGGACTTCCCCACGGTTCACCTGTGGGTCGGCGCGGCACACAGGGACTTCTCGACGGTCCATCTGTGGGTCGGTGCGGCGCACAGGTTGGAGATCATTGCCTGCCATAAACCACAAACCAGACAGACAGACATTTGACCTACCGAGTCCGGGGAATAGTTCCTGGCCAATTAAACCAATTTGAACCCAATTATACAGATTACGGTAGACGGCGGGAAGAAAGGGGGATGATGTTGATGGGGGAGAAGGCTGTCGTTCTACGTGTTATAGTTGTAAAATATGAAGCCGAAATTGTAAAACAAACATGTCCTGAAGTTTTATCAGAAATCAGTAGTTATGTGGGGTAGCAACACTAGATAAGGGCAGACGGCAAAGGAGGAGGAAGGGGGAGGGGGGGGAGGGGGGGGGGGTTACCAATTTTCTTTTTTTTTTTAAAGGGGGGGGGGGGAGGGGGCGGCTCAAAAGGTCTTAACACTGTTATAATAATATTAATAATAAAACTATTAATAATAATAATAACAGAGGCCTTTATTTACCGGTAGTCACCACAAAATGTCTAAAGAGATACCGTTACTCATCACATAGTGACTATTACAGTACATTGGTGCTGGGAGGGGGGAGGGGGAGGGGGGGGGTTGTAAAAAAAGGTGCCGGTACAGCGGTCCACTGCGTACCGTCAGGGGAAAAAAACCCTGATAATAATAATAATAATAATAAATAATAAACAATCTGGTGAATGACAAAACAGATATAATGTTTGTGAAAAATAATATCTGTAGAAACAAACACTTCAAGAGAACTATGCACGGAATGGGATAGTGGGATGGGTGAGGGCATCTGAACGTACCCGGGCGGTGGCGGGAGGAAAGAGGGGGGGGGGGAGGAGTCTTAAAGGCGCCAAAGTTTTCGGAGGCGCTCCTGGCTGAAGGCAACCTTGAACTAGTGAAAACAAGACGGCGCATACACAATGAGGGCAGACAGACAAGAAGAGGTCATGCCTGGCTTAACTTAATTACGCAGTTGTTCGTAATAACATTACAGTTCTGACACAAGCATTTCTCTGCCCTGTGTGCAGGCAAGGACATAGAGAAGACATAAGTACAGTGGATACTTTTTTAACCGAATTCCCATTCAGCGTTCTTTCACCGGACATTATTCAAAATGCCCATATGCACCATCCAGCGTTCTTTCACCGGACATTATTCAAAATGCCCATATGCACCATCCAGCGTTCTTTCACCGGACATTATTCAAAATGCCCATATGCACCATCCAGCGTTCTTTCACCGGACATTATTCAAAATGCCCATATGCACTATCCAGCGTTCTTTCGCCGGGCATCTATCAAAATGTCCCTATGGTTTAGAAATCAAAGCAGTTATTCAAAGCTGTTAGTGTTCCCTCTTTTGTTTTTGTTTGTTGAGCTGCCTGCTACTCATGGTAGAGGCAGGGGGTGGCATAAGTGTAATAGTTGGGTTCTAGTAATGAAGTCGGGTCCAGCTATACACTAGCTGACTTTTCATTCATGCATGCTCAGACTGGTGTATGTGACAGGGGTGTCACTATGTAATAGTTTTCTTCGCAAAGCTTTCTGGGTTGCGTGTTAATCGTTGTTGTGTGAGCAGCGGCATCCGACATTGTGTTTTCACTTGTAGGCAGAAAAGCGTTGCTTCCACGGGTGGCGCGCTGCACTATCATAGGCTGAGGCAGTGGGCTGGAAAAGGGAGGGGGCGGGAGGGGGGGGGGTTATTAGGGTCAGTTCTAGATATCGCGTCGTTGACCGGTGATAGGACCGGACAAGACACCATTGTCAACTAGACCAGCCTGAGCAAGCACAAATGAAAGGTCAGCTAGTGTGTAGCTTGGCCCTACTTCATTACTAGAACCGTTGTTTGTATCTCTATGTTTGTATATATGTGTGAGGGAGGGATGAGGAAAAAGAAAGAAAGAAAGAGAGAGAGAGAGAGAGAGAGAGAGAGAGAGAGAGAGAGAGAAGAGAGGGGAGATGGAGGGAGAGAGGGAGAGAGAGAGAGAGAGAGAGAGAGAGAGAGAGAGAGAGAGAGAGAGAGAGAGAGAGAGAGAGAGAGAGAGAGAGATCAGCACTTGTTTAAATGTTCGGATAGTTGTCTGTAAACTATAATAGCGGTAGCAGCGATTTTCCTATAGCCTTTTTCAAGCTAAACTCTTCAGGTAAAACCTGCACACTAGAGTGTTTCAGATTTGCCATTCTGCGATATCATATTACACGTAATCTCATATAGGCACCGATATATATATATATATATATATATATATATATATATATATATATATATATGTACACACACACACATACATACACACACACACACAAACACATCGTTCCTTTTCTGATAAGCTGAAAAAGACGTATAATGAAACGCTCAATTTTGTATGTGCTGTGTGTCTTCCGCTATTCCAACTGCCAGAAAACACATTCATTCGTCTGAAAACATGAACGTTTTCAAGAGGACTCCACAGACAAGATCAACACTGGCCACACAAACGGATGAGGAATCTTGAGAACTAGCCCAAGGGCAGATCGACATTGGATTCTGCCACGAGTAGAAAGAACCGCTGTGAGACGCTGGGCTGCTTGAAGTAGTAAAGTTATACTGTAAAGCAAATAAAAATAAAAGGCTAAAAATGTCTTAGAAGCAAGAAAATGTTTAAAGTTTTGGAGATAAACGAGGAACAGCTGGCTGAGTGGTTAAGAATACTAGGCTCTCTTGCTAAAGAGCCAGGTTCGATCCTCAGTAAGATTGTGTATTTTCTTCTGTAGGGGGTAAAATAGGTCAAACTAACAATGATTAGTTGAAAGAAGCTAATGAAAGTAGATCTCTGTGTACAACAATAAGAAAAAGACAAACACTATTCTTTTGCCACATAATGAGAAGAGAGGCACTGGAAAACATCGTGACAACTGGGAAGATCAGTGAAAGGAGGGGTAGAAGCAGACCAAGAGAAATGATGCCGGATGGACTGAAACTATGGCATGGAGGGATATCATCAAGAGTGCTGTTCCAGATAACCAGGAATCGTGCATGAGCGCCTAAGCCGGTTGGCAGGGCACATGATGATGATGATGATGAGAGGGCAAAATAAAATCTAAACCTGTCCAGTCTGTAAGGACAGCGCTAGCCATGCGGCCCTAAATCCTCAGACTGAAAGGCCCCCTGTCTACAACACAAGAGTGGTATATACAGGCGATAATTACCGTTTTTTTTTTTTTGGGTGGGGGGGGGGGGGGGGGGGGGGGGGGCAGAAAGAGGGTTAAGGTTTGAACAACGGATCAACATTATGGCACACGGATAGTAACCCATAAGTACCCTCCGTTCTTCTTCTAACTCAAGTCTGAGTCCGAAGAAGATCAGCACAGTGCACAGGCTCTGTAGCATCGGCGAGGATCGTGAAATACTTTGGGTTGATTTTAAACTTCAAATTTGTGCCCGGGGCAGCGGCGTTAGGCTACTATTTTCGATTTCCAACTGTCAAGGGATTTTTGTTTCTTGCGCAACAATGCACACGGGCGTCTGATCTCACTACCCAGAGAATAGGGGAAATTTCTAGATGTCCAAGTCCACGTGAAAAAATCCCAGTACTTACCGGGGATTGAACCCGGAACCTCTAGCACTCGAGGCGGACACCCTACCTCGAAACCACGCATTCCCTTTGGCAGAGAGATAAACAGTATATTGAAGACGAGAATCAGCAGACGTTATGTATACTCAAACCTACAATATGGTGCAGAAACCTGGACAACGAACAGGCAATTAGAAAATGGAACTGAAATATGTGGACATACATAAGAAAGAGTTGTATTTCATGGAAACTAAGATAATCAAAATACAGAGGTTCTGAAGCGATGATGAATAAAAAGAGAATTGCTAGAAAAAATACAAAGGACAATACTGAAATATTTCGGTCACATAATACTCAAATAAATAAACAGAAGGCAACACTTGAGGCCATTTCAATGCCATTTCAAAGGTTTGAAATGAATTATGTTCGTATTCCAAAGTTGTAGATTTCAAGCTGTACGATAGACACGGCCAATAAGATACCTTTCTTGAGGGTGCCTAGTTCACCATGTTCTTAGTGCACTTGTTTCCATAGCGAGGCGTACACGCCGTTTGGAGGTGGCAGGTTCGATTCCCGGCACGGTAACTATAGCTTTCGATTTTTATGTTGCCTAGTGTGTTATTCTATCTTTCTACTTTTTCTATGAGTGCCGATCAATACCTTTTATGTTGCTTTATTAATACATAATACTCAAAGACTTGTAGCTGGGTAAAATAGTGCAGCGGAGAGTTTTCGCTGGCTTTGGGTGCCACTTGGATTGGAGGGGGAGGGGGGCGGGGGGGGGGGGGGAGCAAGACAAGTAGTCAAGCAGATGGACAACTGATACTGTGAATATAGAGACTATTCGCTTGCTGCTGAAGAGGGAGCAGAGCTAGGAAGGATTTGACCTGCAAACGGCGATGTCGAATCTGTATCCAGATGATTCCCGAACTGATTTCACTGCACCGGGGTTTATCCCGGATGGCTTAATCTGTCTGCGCACAGCTTTGCACAGTATACAAATTTAGTGACCTCGGTAGGCTATCTGACTGATGATCAGGTAACATTTCGAAAGACTCTCTCTCTCTCTCTCTCTCTCTCTCTCTCTCTCTCTCTCTCTCTCTCTCTCTCTCTCTCTCTCTCTCTCTTTCGACCTCTCTCTCTCTCTCACTCGCTCTCTCTCCGTTTGTGTGTATGGATGGGCTTGCCGTCTTCACAACAGAGGTTGGCTGCAACATAACAGCGCATCCCCTCCTCTGTCCTCTTTGCTAATATTAGTCTCTGAATGTGGGGGTAACGCTCTGTAAAAGTGAAGCTTCTGAATTATAATCTATCAATCAAACCTCTGAAACTGCTGTTCGCATATCTCTTGATGTTATCCTCCCACTTGTATCACTGTCCACCTCGTACCCACTCTCCTTAATATTTCCCCTCCAGTATGGTTAATGTCAAAGAAAAGTAGGTCTTTTAATGTGGCCTAAATATTTCACCCAGATCCGATTCACTCTTTTTCAGTAAGCCTTCTTTCACTCTCTGGATGATTAGTTAGTATTTCCTCTCGGATCTAGGGCGGCACATAGGGCAGAGATCATAGCTCTCCGTGTCTGGCGGTTCATTAGAAGTTTATTAATCCCATGTCAAAACCTTTCCCGATGACGTTTATAAGATATGGATGATTGCTGTATGAAATATAACGAACGAACGAACGAACGAACTTTACTTTTTCAAAGGGTAACAAATTAGGCACGCAGGCCTGTTTTACAATCGGACCCTTCCAAACTCCCATCTTTCACACAGCAGTTGTATTTCATCAATAAAGCATGGTATGTTCATGTAAAAAATTTGCATATTATGAATATCAAGTCAAAAACAGAAGACTATTGTATGAGACTATCCAAATCAATATTAAATAAGCTATAGAACAAGAAAACTCACTTGAAAGATTGAACAAACTTATGGGGACTATTTCTCGGCGAAGATGTGTATCCCTCCGCTTGCTGCAGTTTCTCTACGGCTTCCCCTGGTATATACGTGATGCTGAGGATAAGAAATATATAAATAAAGTAACAGACAATGTATTGATCGGCACTCATAGAAAGATAGAAGAATACACAAGACAACGTAACAATCGAAAGCTATGGTACCGTGCCGGAAATCGAACCTGTCACCTCCAGTGTTTATCTATGTGAGGATGAGAAAGATGGGGAGAGCTAGGTAATTTTCCGGAAATATTTGGGAACTGATTCTTTTTCAATCTT